TCCGGTACTATCTGTACAAAAACACACAGCTTCCACTATTCCCATTAAACAGACTCTTTGCATATAATCTTAAACTTGGTTAGAAAGCAACCAGACCTGACCTCATATCTGCTCTCATTTGGTTTTTGCCCATCTTTTCATGTCCCTTCAATACATTGAACTTCCTGTACAAACTGTCTGTTCATTCCTGTTTTAGTTTTACTTTGTTACATTTTTTATATTTTTTCTCTGTTTTTGATTTTAAAAAAGGCTTTAAGGGGAATTAATTAGTAATTAAATCTTCCAGGATTAACAGACGATATCAGGAGAATAAGAAAAGTCACCCATGTGCTGCTCTGAGGAGATATCAGTTGAAGCCGAACTGGAGCTGGGCTGCGCTGTCAGGCAATACCAGTTTGGACCACAGGGTGGCGTTGTGGTGAGTGCAAGCTTTTTAAGGTTGTATTTTTAATTAATTTAAAAAAGTTTAAACACACTGATAAAAACGCTGCTGGCTCACAGGCCTTTCAAAATAAAACCGAGGGATGAGCTGTGAAGGAGTCAATTTTAACCTCAAAGCTTGTGTGAAAAAGAGACAAAATAATAAAAAATGAGCAGGGAACAAAAGTGTAAACATCTGCAGCAGGATCAGAGCAGCCATCAGGTCACAACACGGGTGGTGCAAAGACCGTAATGAGATCAGCTACTGCAGCGAATTCAAGCCAACACTCGGGTCCCTCTGGGTTTGGATGAGACACAGAAGCTTAATTAAAAGCAGGCCCGCGATGTTATTTTAACCTCAAATCAAACATTAAACAAGCAGCACGTTTCTGCTGATCTGGCTCTCAGATGCGCTGCACTTTATGCAAACGAGGCCAACTGCAGCTCATTTACATATGAAGTCACTGAAGTTTCACTGAATCAAAGAAGCCCACAAACATCCGAGTCACCGATCGTCCAGTCTGCAGCCGCAGAGGCCTCCTCCCCTCCCGGCTCGTCAGCTGTGATCTTGTTGCGTCCTTCAGGCAGAGACAAAAGAGCCCAACCCGCCTCTAAAAAACTCCAGCACCCCTCCCCGCCCCCTGGGCTGCAGCCAGGTGAGAGCTCATTAACACCGCAAAGGAGGAGCTCTGCAGGAGTCATGAATAAACAAAACCCTCGACTGAAAGACGCACCGAGCTTCCACATCTGAAATCACTCGTCCTGCGAGAGGAGACGAGAGTCTGAGAGGCAGGAATTTATTTTTCGTAGTGTAAGAGCCGTGTTACACTTCCTGTTTCCTTATCTAACTCACAACACGTCCTGTCCTGCACCTCAGCTGGTTCAACGAGAACTCGCTCAGCGGATAAAAGCCGCTCTGCTAACGTCAGCTAACCGGCTGCACAGATAATGAACACATGAAGCAGCACGCAAGCGTCACTCCAGCACTTCTGCGTCCAACACCACCA